TGACAGCAGGGACTGTGTTATATACTTCTCTGTATTTCTAGCACCTAGCACAAAGTCATGAATACATTATGTGTTCAGTAAATGTTTGTTGAATTGAGAAGGAAACTTCCCACTCAAAGCTTGATGATGAATGGTGATGGAAGTACCCTGAGTCATCTTCACTCAGGTGGTGCCAAGGTAGAAATGACTGGAGCCTGGAGAGGAAGGGACTGTGCCATTTGAGAGTTTGTAATAGATGAGGAAGGAAGAGCCTGGATTAGTCTGACCCAAAGTCTAGATCTGGGGACAGTGGACTTCAGATTGTTCAGAGGAAAGACAGGCCTAAAATCACATAGGGAAGATTGGTGCATGAGAGAAGGGATGCTCTCAAGAATAAAATTCAGATGATGTGAACACAAATTGTTCTGATGTGGGTGGGGGAGAGGGAGAGTCTGAGGAAAGTGGATATGCAAGGAACTCAGTTTCAGGAAAGAAATGACAGTAAGGGCTGATAACAGAGTGAATTAAAAATAGTGGCATGGTTTCATAAGAATCAGTAATTCCAGAACTCAAAATAATATGAGCCTAGAAATAAATCCTAAGGACAACCAAAAGAGCCTTTAAAGAGTCTATCTTGGGCTTAAACAGGAAGGTCAAAGAAGGGTTTGAATTGTATTTGCTTACGAAGGGGAAAGGAAGATGATAAAGGATGATGGAGAAAATGTAAAACTACTTAATTCTCATTTTGTTTCAGGAGGAATCATCTTTAGACTGGGGAGTATTAAAAACTGCTTGATAGATGACTGAAAATTAAGAGCACTGGCTTTGGAGTCAGAATGATCTGGGCTCAGATTCTAGCTCAAATACTAGCTGTGTGATCCCGGGCAAATCACCTAACCTCTGTCTGCCTCAGTTTCCTCATCTATAAAATGAGGGTGATCATAATAGTACCTACCTCACTGGGTTGCAGTGAGGATCAAATGAGATATAATGCATGTAAAGCACTTGACCAACCATAAAGTACTATTTAAATGTTACCTTTAGTTATAATAACCCTGTACTTAGCTACCTACCCTCAATCAATAACTGGTCAGTCAATAAATATTTATTAAGTGCTTACTTTGTGCCAGGCACTGTGCTAAGTACTGGGGATCCAAAGTAGATAGTGCCTGTCCTCAAGGAGCCCACAGTCTAATGGAGGAGATAAAATACAACTACGTATAAACAAGCTATAATTGGAAATATTCAATAGAGAAAAGGCACTAGAATTAAGAGGGATAGGGAAAGGTTTCCTGAAGAAGAGGAGATTTTAGCTGGGACTTGAAGGAAAGCGAGGAAAGCCAGGAGATATGGAAGGAGAGAGCATTTCAGGAATGGGGGACACTCAGAGAAAAATACCCAGAGCCAGAAAATGGAGCGTCTTATTCAAGGAATAGCAAGGAAGCCAGTGCCACTGGACTGAAGACTAGAAGGGAAGGTGAGGTAAGATGTAAGAAGACTGGAAAGGTGTGTTTGTGGGGGAAAATGTTATGAAGGACTTTGAATAACAATTGGTTATTGAGTTCCTAATATGTTCAGAGCTCTGTGCTGGGTGCTGGGAATGCAAAGCCAAAAGTTAAGGCAAATTAAATCTCAAGGCTCTGAAAGAACTTTTGGATACGACGACAGCCTTGTTGTCAATGACCTTGGAAGAATAGCTGGAGGTAGGAAATGTGCCATTGGTGGAGAGGTGGGCAATGTAATTCTGATTTTGCAAAGGGGATGAGGGACAATTTGAAGCAGCTGGGTGATACAATGGGCAGCTGGGTAGTGTAGTGAATAGAGCACTGGACCTGGAATCAGGAAGACTCATCTTACTGAGTTCAAATCCAGCCTCAGACACTTAGCTGTGTGATGCTGGGCAAGTTACTTAACCCTGTTTGCCTGTTTCCTCATCTGTAAAATGAGCTGGAGAAGGAAATGACAAACCAATCCAGTATCTTTGCCAAGAAAATCCCAAATGGGATCATCAAGAGTTGGCCATGACCAAAATGAGTAAACAACAAAAGGTGATACAATGAAGAGGATGTTGGGCTTAGATTCAGGAAGTCAAGTTCTCCTTCAGACATTTACTAGCTACGTGACCATTTAACCTCCCTCAGCCTCACTTTCCTGGGAGGTAACCTCCCAGGGTTGTTGTAAAGATAAAATGGGATAATATTTATAAAGTGTTTTGCAAACCATAAAGCGCTATATAAATGCTAACTGTTATTATTAGTAGTCTTTTAACTATAAGCCAGTGAACTTGACTTTGGTTTCTGGCAAAATTCTTGAATATGTTACTAAAATGATAGTTTGTAAGCACTTTGGGAAGTGGCAGTCTTTATCAAGAACAAGTCATGCCATCTAAATTTGTTGCCTTTTTTGGCAGGACACTGGTGTATCCGGGAATCAATATAGCCATAATATGCCTACATTTCATCTAGGCATTTGACAAGATCTGTCTTGTGGACAAGATGGAGAGATGTGGACTGGATGATAGTACAACATAAGTGGATTTGGATCAGTGGGAATGACTGAGCTCAAAGAATACTGATGATCAGAACAAGGGCGACCTGAAAGGGGGTGCTTAAGTGTCCTTGGCCCCATTCTGCTCAACAAAATTGTTAATGACTTGTATGAAAGCACCAGCGACATGCTTATCCAAAATTGAAGATGACCCAAACCTGTGAGGGGGTAGTAACTCAGAGGGTAGTGTTAAGACAGAAAAAATCTTGGCAGGCTGTTGAGATGGACCCAATTTAAGAACATTTAACAGGGATAAGTATAAAGTTCTGCACTTTGGGTAAAAGAAAATTAACTACAGAACTACTGATTGAGAAAGGCGGGACTTGACAGAAGTTCTAATGAAAAAAACAACAACAACTTGGGGTTTTAGTGGACTGCAGGCTCAGCAGAAGCCAGCAGGGTGACATAACTGAAAATGCTAACACAAACCTCTCCAGAATCAGTAAAGTAGTTTTCCAACTTATGGTTTCATCAGATATCCATTCAGCTCCTGTGGGCCCCTTGTTTTCTGTGGTAAATTCTTCCTGAAAGAGTTCTTCCCTTCTTGGGAAAGGGCTCAGACCAGCTATTCTTGATTCTCTGGACACAATCACTATATGCCTGTGTGGGCACATCCTTCTCCCCACTCCACATTGTCCAGCTCCCCTTTTATGTGTTATCTTTCCCCATTAGAATGTAAGCTCCATGAGGGCAAGCCCTACCCTTCTTTTTACTGTTATTTGTATACCGAGCACTCAGGACAGCGCCTGGCACGTCGTAAGCACTTAATAAACACTTGTTCACTTGCTGATTCCTACAGGAAGGACTTCTAGAATCTGGAGAGTGCTCAGAGTAAGAGAGTGACCAAGATGGTGATCGCATAGTGCCTAGCACATAATAGGTGCTCAGTAGACACTTGTGCACTGACTGACTGATCTTAAACCACATCAAAAGAATTGGTTGAAGGAACTAGGGATACTTAATTTTGAGAAGAGGTGACATGATCACTCTCTTGAATTACTCAAAGGGGAATATGTGGAAGAGAGATGTACAGAATGTAAGCCCCCTGAAAGCAGGGACTGTTTGTCATTTTGTCTTTTTATTTCCCTAGTGCCTTGCATGTAATAAGCATTTAATGAATGCTTCCTGAGTTGAACTGAGTTGAATCAGATTTGTTTTATATTTGCCCCAGAGGACGGTTCTAGGAGCAGTAGATAGAAGTTGTAGAGATGGACCCCAGACCAATCTAAGGACAAAATTCCTAAAAGAGCTATTTTAAAATGGAGTAGAGGAGAAGCTAGGTGATGCAATAGATAGAGCTCCGGCCTTGGAGTCGAGAAGGACCTGAGTTCAAATCCGGCCTCAAACACTTGACACTTACTAGCTGTGTGACCCTGGGCAAGTCACTTAACCCCAACTGCCCACGAAAAAACCAAAAAAAATTTGAGTAGACTACTTCAGAAAGTAGTTAAGTAACCCATCATTGCAACTGGTTGGTAGAGAGATTGGATGGCTGACCAGTCATTGGGATATTGTAAAGAATATTTCTATGTAGGTATAAGTTCAACCTGATGATCTCTGAAGCCCATTTTTTATTCTTCCATGATCCACTCTCTCTCATTCTCTGCTTGGGAGCAATATTTGGGGAAGAGAATGAGTAGTTTTATCCACTTACGGGCAAGAGGAAAATAACTACTAATAAGTCTGGCTTATTAGCTAACTTGGCTAATTTAGCTCATGTCACTGTTGTCTCTTGATAATCATGTGCTAAGTGAATGTCAAATCACAATAAATTGCAAAGAGAATATCCAAAAGGTTAATTTAAACTATTGGGTGCTTATTCTATGACATTCCAAATTTAGCATTACCTACACATCTCATATTAATATGCTTATCCTCAGTTAGGTTTCCAGCATCTCTCAGAACTTTGTTCCAAATCCAATTAACCACTTCCTCCTACCCTCTCTCCTTCCTTATCTCAGTAATCAGGATACTTCTCTACTTGTTGCCTGGAGCCCATCTGGCCTCCACACACAGAATCACAGATCTCGGGAGTTGGAAAGGACATCAGCGGCCATCTAGTCTAACTAACAGCTGGCTGAAAAATCTCTTTTCAAGGGTCTGCTTTCTACCTGATCCAATGGTGGCCATATTTTCTAATTTCAGAATGAACACGATGGTTTATTTTCACTTTAAATGGTGCCCTGCTCCCCTGCTTTTGGCAGCTTGGGTAATGAAGGCAACCTAGGAAGAGCAGACCAATTCCACTCGAGGAGAATGCCTTTTGAGATACTTTTCATTCTTGTCTGCGTGCCTATGAAAAAGCCTGTGAGGCTATTGGCTTCTATCTGACGGAGGATGGGATGGGGCTTAGACCTAAGCAACCCTAACTGTTGACTTGGAAACACATGGGGTGACTTCTTACCTTGGCCCCCTCTTGTCCCTTCCCCTCACCCAATTCTTCCATAATATACCAGTTTAGTATCAATACTCACTGACACATTTCTTCCCATCTTCAGCAAGGTTGTAACCATTATAGCATTGGCACACGTAGGATCCGGGAACGTTCACACATATCTGCTCACAGGCATGGTCCTGCATTTCACACAGATCCTGAACTGAAACACAGGGTCGGGCAATTAGAAGATGACCACATGGAGGCCACAGACACAGCTTTATCTTTAGGGGTCTCAAACTACAAGATAATCTAACGAACAGTTCTTCAGCACTTTAAACCACCACCGCCACCAAATACTTGAATGCTTACTGTCCCTGCATCAAGCACCCAGTTAAGTATAGTACAAAGACAACACCATAGACACAGTTCTCCCCTTTATGAATTTAAAAGTACTTTGAAACCAAACCATATCTTGTCCTCTATCACCTCCATCTGATTTTCTACCACCCTTCCACTCCCCATGGATCAACACTGTCATTCACATTTTATAGATAGGGAAAGTGAGGCAGAGGGCAGTTAAATGACCCATATAACTAATGACAGACCCAAGAATTCCTGAGCTTATACCAGCCCATCAGGATACATTCCTTGTCAAATACAACTTAGAGGTAAGTGTGGTGCAGTAATTGGTATGCTGGAAGTGGAGTCAAGATTATTTATTTCTTCATTACTCTCTGGGTTATACTCCTGAGTCTCCTGGATCTTCTCTATAATGTTCCAGAAGCTTCTTTACCCTGGAAGCTCACTACCCCCATGAACTTCATACACTGAAAGCACCTTTGCCTTGTGGCCCCTTCCTCTGATTGAATGGTTCCTTCTAGAACTGCCATTTTAAGAAGGCCATCCTGGACAACTACGGTTCCATTCCTCTCCAGGCTATACTCCTGACTCTCCCAGATTTTCTCTACAATGCCTCAGGTATCTTCATCTCTTCCTCTTAACCTTTTCAGCTTCCTTTTATTTGTTGTCTTCTCTCAATAGAATGTAAGCTCCTTGGGGCATCTAGGGGGGAGCAGTAGATAGAGCACAGGCCCTGGAGTTAGGAGGACCTGAGTTCAAATCACACCTTAGATATTTACTAGCTGTGTGACCCTGGGCAAGTCACTTAACCTTGATTGCCTCCAAAAAATATGTAAGCTCCTTGTGGGAAGGGACCATCTTTCTGCTTGTATTTCTCTTCCTCAAACCTTAAGGAAGTGCCTGACACATAGTAAGGCTTAATAAATACTTGTTGACTCGACATGAAGACCTGGCTTCAAATACCACTTCTGACTTTTATTACTTACGTCAAGGTAACAAATGCCATGGGCAAGTCATTTAACTTCTCTTGGCCTCAGTTTCCTCATCTGTAACACAGGGATAATAATACCTGCAGTTCTGTCTTTACAGGATTGCTGTGAGGCTGTGATGAAATAGCAGAAAGTGCTCTGCAAACTTCAAAGTGCTATATAAATACCAGTGTTTATTACTAAAATAAATTCTGAAACTGTCTCTCCCTCTGTTTATTTTCCCTAATAAACAGCCAAGGGAAAAATGATAAATGGAAAAGCTACAGGAGAATGCTAGAGAATGCAAATTACTAAAGGGGCCTGGATTCTTATCATAAATTATCATTATTGTTTGGTCAACACTTGCTAAGTGCTCACAAGGTGCTGATATGCCCTGTCTCTTTACTCAAAACAAAAACCAAAAACTGTGGGAATGCATTTACAAGAATATATTTGTGAGATTGGAACTTAAAGGTATATTAAAGGTAATAAAGGTCAAAGATATCAATCCATCACTGATTCATTCTTTCCATTCAACAAACAAGCTCTTTTTATAATGCTCTTTCCCAGCACAGAAGATGGTTTGACTCATGTAAGAGAATTGAATTTGCCATTGATTTCCCCATTAGAGCCTGGGGGAAATCAGAAAACATTTGAGGAGTTGTTTGTTCAATATAATAAAGAGAAATTTGCCTGTTAAATAAATGATAAGTCTTCTGATATTGTGGAAAGTGTGTTAGATTTGAATCAAGAGATCAAATTCTGAACCGGGAAAGTCATTTCATGGTGTTTCTAGGCCTCAGTTCTCATATGTGTAAATGGAGTTCATAATACCCTGTTCTTCTCATGGAGTGGTCCAAGGGAAAGCTCCTAAATCACCTCATCTCATTAGAAACATCTCATTAGAAAGAACTGATGGAATCTGAATGCAGATCAAAATATTTTTTCACTTCATTTTTTTTCGTGTTTTTTTTTTATTTTGGTCTGCATCTTCTTTTACAATGTGACTAACATGGAGGTATGTTTTACATGATTGCACACGCATAACATAACAATTTATTGTTCTATCAGAGAGGAGGACAGGGAAGGAGGGAGAGAATTTGGAACTCAAAAATTTTAAAAACGAGTCTTCAAAATTGTTTTTACATGTAATTGGGAAAAAATAAAATGTTATTCAAAACAATTCCAAACCTCACATCTCATTAGTTGCTAAGTGAAGGAGTCAGTATGCCAGCTCAGGGCACTGGCTCAGGCTGTCTCCTTGTGGGGTCCAAACCATGAGTTGTCTATGTTCCATATTTCTCCTTCCGTGGCTTTTTTTTACCCCTAAGTTTCCTCTGCACAGACAGACCGCCTTCTGCACCTCAGATTTGTATCTATCACCCATGAACTCATTTCCTATGCTTCCTATTGCCTCGTCACTTGGGTTTGTTGTCTTTTTTTCTTTTTTCCGGTCTTCTAGCTCTGAATAGGAGGCCAGTCAACAGGTCAATAAACATTGATGAAGAGCCTGTTATGTGTCAGGCGCTGTGCTAAGGGCTGGGGAAACAAAGAAAGGCAAAAAACAGTCCCTGCTCTCAAGAAGCTCACAGTCAGTCTAATGGGAGAGAGAATATGTGAACAACTTGCTGTATACAAGATAAACAAGATAATCAATGGGGAGAGTGAGGAGTTGAAGATGATACCAAGCTTGTAAAACTAGGCAATTAAAAGGATGGTTGAGCTTTTGACAGTAACAGAGAAGTTCGGAAGGAGCATAGGGTTTGAGAGGGAAACTAATGTAACAAATTCTGAGATTCAGATGATTACCCTTCCATGCCTGCTCATCCTATGGAGCTCACTCTGTCCCAACTAATTGGAAAAGGGGAGATGAGGATTGCTCTTACTTAGTCAATGCCCCAGAGAACAGAACTGGCACTCTGAGGGGTGTCTGCCCTAGTCATGAGGTGAACTGGGGGTCAGAAGATAGATACGCATGTGTGCATGCATGTGTGCATATGTGTGTGCATGCATGTGGATGTGTGTGCGTGTGTGTGTGCATGTGAAATTTTTCCAGGGGCAACTATGCAGCTGCTCTATAGGTGCCTGGGTAGTGGTTAATCAGGGATAGGGAACCTGTGGCCTTGAGGCCACAACCAGTTCAGAAGAAGAGAGCTTGCCACTGGAAGGACAGGACAGAGTTTCAGGGGAAAAGGGAAGGCATGGGTTGAATTAGAGATAAGGTCCCATGAGTGGCTGTCACAGGGAGGGTCCCATCCTCCCACCTCTGATTGGCTGATCACATACCCCTTGGGACCAGGTCATTGTCTCCACTCTGGAGACCCCTATTCTGGATGCAAGAAGAAATGCTGTGTCCAGGATCAGGGATTATTGAATTCAGTAGCTTCATGAAATATGCTTCATTTAGCTTCCTGTTATGAACTTCTGCTCTCTGTGGCCACATTTTCCTGTTGACTGGATTAACCACAAGTGTGGTGATACCAGCAGTTGGAGGCGAGCATTCTTTTCATCTTGATGATCCTGTTTAATTTGCAGGGTCTTTTGGGAACTTTTGGGCTTTTGGCTTTGGAAGGCTGAAATCTGGGTGTGTAAGCATTTGAAGTCAGAAACGTGGCAGGCAAGCAGACAGCCCTTGAGGGGGAAGAAAGCCAGGACATGACATACCCATGTGTCTTCATGATGCACCAAAGTGTGGTTGTGAAGTGACTATATGGGGTAGAGTGAATAGCACTGAATTTGGAATCAGGCTTTCAAATCCTGGCTGGGTGGCTTACTTACCTATGTAACCTTGGGCAAATCAGTGAATTTTTCTAGGTCCTAATTTCCTCTTCTGTAAAAATGAGAAGGTTTTATAGCTATAATTATTGCTAGAAAAATGGCCCTATCAAGGACAAGGGCTGCTGACAAACTCAAACCAGAATTTTGTTTAATGATTAGGTAGTTCCTGTCCACCATGAAGATAAGCCCCTTCCCCCTTAACATTTACTCTCATGAATCACCAACCCCTTTCCCTCAAATGGAAAGCTTTCCAGTTGGCTTGTCTTTTCATGATGTTTTTATGGTCTTTGGGATTTATGACCATGGGGATTTGTACAGACTGAAAGGAAGACGTAGCGGGGGATTAATTTAATTAAACAAATACGATGCAATGGATACAGACTGGGTTTTGAGAAAACAACAGCAGTGTTTTTCTGGAAACGGGCACTTCAGTCAGAAACCAATACAGATGTTTTCAAATGATAGCTTAGGCTTTTGAAAAACACCAGTGATTTTCTAGTGTTTTTCACCCCATGGGCAGGTTCTTTCTGTACTGGTAATAAAACCCAAGTAGGGGACAAAGGACTTTGAAGTCAAACTTCTTTGAGTGTCAGCACTATGATTTATAATCCCAGAGGTGACTTGGAAGGCCTCGGGGGTTGGAGCCACAATAGTCTTCTCCTCCAAGATCTCTAAAAGAAACAGGGCTTTGAAGAGTTTGGTGAAGTCGGAAGGCAAAGTTTTTCTAGGCTGGCCTAAATCTATGGTCCTGTGATTCATCAAAGTAAGAGGCAAACTATGGCCTTTAGCCAAATCCTCAGGCCTGTTTTTGTGCCACCCTTGACTTAAGAATGGTTTTTACATTTTCAAATAAAGTTTTGTCATATTTAAAAACATTGCATATGGAAATCCACCCATGTCTCTCATTGGGGATGATGTTATCCTGTAAAATCCTCTGCAAAGGGTCCAGCCACCATCCTGCAGGCCCTCTTCTACCTGACCTTGCATGGATACAGTGGAGCAGTGGTTCTCTATCATTCTCACTGCATCATTGGCCAACTTTCTTTTTCTCTGATAGCGTCCTCAACGCCACTTCTCTCGCGTAATTCTTGGCAGCTAAAACATCCCACTCATG